TGCCAGGGGATGAGGCCTGGCTCCTAGAGGGGCTCCGAGCCTGGGAGGCCCGAGCTTGGAGAGCCAAAGCTTGGGAAGCCTCCTAGTGGGGGCACCACCTTGAGTGGAGGGCTTGGCTCGCCTAACAGCGGGGTGCCGAGGTGGGAGCTGTGGCTGACTTTGAAGCTGACTTTGAAGTAGTTGGGGGAACTGCTGCTGGTAGTGGTACTGGGAGACATGGTGCAACATCTGCTGCTAGTGGATTTGCTGTTGTTGAAGCTGCTGCACCTGGGCTTGGATGGCCTGCATCCCATGCATCAGGTCATCGAATTGGTTCTGGCTAGTTGTCGGGGGAACAATAGTAGGTTCAGTAAAGGTGGTTCCAATAGGAGGAAGGGGGACGTTCACGGAGGGAAGATTCATAGGCGCCACTGTTCGCGGCGTACTCAGGCTGGGGGTCCCTTCCACCGAAAGGGGGATGGTGAACTTTCCGATACATACCACGGGGACTTGAAGTTGTTCCCCGGTGGCTTTCATCTCCGTGCTACGTCCGGCATTGCTGGAAGAAGCCATAGGTGTTGGGGTTTCTTGGTCAGAAGATGCAACGAAAGTTTTAGAGGGAGGCTTTTAGAAGCGTATTCCCACAGACGGCGTCAAATGATGTAGCACAATCCGGTTGGTCCTAGCTGTCAACGACCTTACCTCTGACTGGAGCAACAGGTGCTTGAAACGGAGAAGAAGGCGAGGAATCTCCGGGGAGGAACCCGGTGAGATTGCTCCAAAGCTCAAGTTAGTATTTTCTCAAAGGCAAGATCAAAACCAGATAGCGCAAAGTTATCACGTACCTCCTTCTTGGAGGGAAGAGGGCCTTTTATAACCGCTTCGCGCACTCACTCCCAAGCTCCTGTCAGGTCGGGTATCATTACCTCTGCACTTCTACCAGTTCGGGTGTCATCACCTCTGCTGGGGCAGGCAACTGCCACTGCTCTTTGTCGGAGTCGTCTCTGTGACTGGAGGTGGCGGTGGCAGGTGGTCGTTGAAATGCGGCTGTCAAGGATCAGATCCTAAGTCAGTCAGGTGCGCCACCTCAGGATACGGACTCCTTTTGTGTCAGGTACGGTCGTTCAGTTCGGCGGCCTGGAGACGAAGTGCTAGAGTGGTGTGCAAGGTGAAGTCTTGAGTTCGGATAGAGGTGTGGCCCGAACTGCCTTGGGGTGGGCCAGTTCGGGTTGTTGCCCTTTGCGCTCTTTGTAAGGCTCGGGGTCAAAGGGGGAGTTCGGGCTCCTTTTGGGGAGCTCGGACCGCTGGTTCCTCCTCTCGGAGCTCGCGCCTTGAGCGTACTGTCGTGCCGAGCTGTTGCTTCTGCCACGTGTTGGGTGGTTAAGAGGTCGGGCCAAATCTTCCTTCATCACAATCGTTCTCAATCAAAGAGAAACTGAAAACAATAGTAGAATCATTAGAGACGGGAAAAGAAAATAAAGGAGGAAGAAACAGTTCCACAACCCTTTACCTCGTTGACCTAGGTTTCATTAACAGGGCATATACCAATATGCAATATTGTTTCTTGGTTTGCTGGTGGTCCCCTTCTCTGATTCCTGCTCTGTTCCCTCTCAGGCCCCGTTTGCTTTTCGGTAAATTACTTACTCCGGGTAAATGCTGTTACCTGGGTAAGTTTTTCCTGGAAAATACTTACCCAAGTAAGTGCATTTACCCATGTTCTTTTATTTCTCATGTTAATAAGGCAATGCCCATTTTAGCCGTAAAAATCCATTATTAATAAGGGCATTTTTGTCTCATTCATGTGTTGACAACTTTCCCCATAGGTGAGAAAGTTATTTACGCACCTAGGAGATGGGTATCACTTACCTGATACCCAAGAAAATAAACTTTCCCTGGTCCCCACATAAATCTGAAAAAAGAACATGTGATTCTTGGTCAATGGGAATCAAAATCCTATTGACCAACTTTCCCCCTCTCAAAACCCGAAAAAAGAACACGCCCTCAGATGCAGCATATGAAGCTCTTCCCAACTCAATTAGAAAGGTTGCAGATTACAATCAAAAGAAAAAAAAAATCCAAACTATATGAAAAATACTTGTAGATTTAAAACTGAATTAGAAGGGTTGCAGAGTCCAGTCAACCTCCTCCATCTTGTTACCCTCTGCATCCGCATCTTCAAGAAACACATATTAGTGTCTGCATCACATTCACCACTCTTGGTGGAGTGGCACCTCAACTAGAACTCTACTCATCTGAATGTTGATCCATGGCAGTGGTAACTCAATAGAATTATACTCATATGTTTAAGTACTAGATTGGTACATTTTGAAATTCAGCATCAAAGTAAAGTAAGATTAAACCCAAATTACAGGTCACTAATATGTAATTTTTCCAAACTTAAAAAAAAAAGTGATTACTATGAAATACCATATACCTCGAAGCCAAATGCGGGCTCGATTAACATTATTATAATCACGCCACATCATTTTCTCATAGAGGTTTTTTTGGTTTGGGTTTCCTATATGTACGGATTTATCGTTTCCGGCCGTACCGTACCACATTCGCAAGACTTTGATTACGCCTGACATATCGCCTTATTCTTCTCCGCCTTTCTTTCACTTGTCACGTGGATGCACTGTCAAACTCTTCCCAGGTTTCTTCTGTTATACCGAGACTGCGATCTATAAGAAATCGTTTGTTGTCCACTAAGAACATCGTCGGGTCGGCTTGGTACGTTTTACCTAAACCTTATCCGACCCGATACGATAAAAACAAGGGAGAGGAAATACCAAATCAGCCCGCCCTGATACACCCATACAGCCATACTGCTATGCTCAATCAAGTTTTACATATATATATATATATAGATAGATATACAAAATTACAAATATCTCAATGCAGAAAATATAAGGAGTCGGGTCCGATTTGGCATTGGCTCACCTCAATCAAACCAACCCGACTCCCGATTAAGGTTAACTCGACCCATTAACATCCCTGTAAGAAACATCACACCTGCAACTGCAAGGCGAGGGACTCCCAACAGGGTTCAATTATACACCAAACTTATGGTCTATAAGTATAAAACCAAACAACGCACTTAACCGTACTTATAACCTATCAAGAGTCAAAGTGACAAGGAGGTAACGTGCAAAGTCCAAATTTCAAAAATGATTTTAAATCTCGAAGCAATTGATCCGAACGACTACAAAGCCCAGGCCCACTCGACAACGACACTATAAATACTTCCAACTGTCAAACCTCTTATTCCATAACTTCCCATATCTCTCTCTCTCTAGAATGGCCAATTTCATAACTAGCATTCTCTTCTTTCTCTTCACGTTCCTCTCGTCCTCACATGCAATCTACAACGTAGTCAGCTTGGGCGCCAAATCTGACGGTACAACCGACAGCACAAAATCGTTGCTCAAGGCATGGGCCTTGGCCTGCAGCTCAGCTAAGCCCGAGACCATCTACGTTCCCACCGGAAGATACTTGCTTAAACCGGTCCAGTTCAGAGGCCCATGTAAGAACCGAATCGTCGTTCGGATCGATGGAACCCTCGTCGCCCCATCGGACTATCGCGTCCTCGGCAATTCAAACAGTTGGCTTCTGTTCATCAAGGTCACCGGATTGTCTGTCATCGGCGGGAACCTTGACGCACGGGGTGCCACCTATTGGGCCTGCAAGACTTCCGGCAGAAACTGCCCTGCCGGAGCTAGGGTAGAAGACAATACTGATAGCATACGATATTGTCTCTCATATTTTCTGTGTATCACTCTAACATTATATTATCGTGTCCGTGCAGTCGATAACGTTCAATTACGCAAATGATGTTGTGATCAGTGGCTTGACATCGATCAACAGCCAGATAACGCATGTCGTCGTGAACGGATGCAGCAATGTCATGGTTCGAGGGGTGAAGATCGTCGCACCTGATCTGAGTCCCAACACGGACGGCATTCACGTACAGTTCTCATCCGGTGTAACAATCACGAGATCAAGCATCAAGACAGGCGATGACTGTGTATCAATTGGTTCGGGAACCAAAAACCTTTGGATTGATCGGGTTAGCTGTGGGCCGGGACATGGCATCAGGTACTCATCCAACGGCTAAGACGAGAATTGATTCAATTGAGTTCTTGTGCTAGTGCTATACAAACTGCATTGTATCATGTGGAAAGTGATATAGTACTTTCCGAGTCACATTACTAATGTGAGCAAATTTAAATTTCATTTCTGTTTGTCAACAGTATCGGAAGTCTGGCCAAGGATAAGAATGAACAAGGGGTGCAGAATGTGACGGTAAAGGATAGTACACTCACCGGAACTGATAACGGGTTACGTATAAAGTCGTGGGCCAGACCCAGCAACGGGTTCGTGAGAGGCGTCCTTTATCAGAACATAATCATGAACAACGTAAAGAACCCGATCTTAATAGATCAGAAGTATTGCCCCAACAATCGTTGCCCTAAGCAGGTAATTAGATCAAGATTCAAGAATCAATGGTCCTGATCGATGCTTTCATTAGTGAATTGCCCGATTAGATTATGGGTATGCAATGCCCGACCCGAAGACATAGCAAAAAAGTCGTCCTAACCAGGGTCCGGGACCCCTATCTAGTGCCCCGCGAAGTAGAAAGTGCCTGATCCGACCCGAAGAGAATTTGGATTGGCTCGGGCCGGGTCACCATCAGGTCAAAATTTTCAAACTGGTGTTGACCCAAATGGTTGAACCATCCAAACCATTTGAATCGACAGTTAAACCTATATTTTTTGTTTAAAAAACTGTTGACATGGTCAAAAAACCAAATAACCTGGACAGTTAACCGTTGGTCCGTCTGACCCATTGATCAACCCTAACTTGAATATTTAGGATTAGGGTCTAACTTTTACCCACCCAACCCAAAAGTTGACATGACCTAAAACAACCCGAAAAGATGACTTGACCCGATTCGAATCAAACCCGACCCAACCTGATTGCACGGTCTTCCTTCTATATCTATCGTTGATTTGAATTACAGTTATTTTTTTCATTATTATTATTATTTTTTTTTTTTGGGGGGGGGGTGTTTAACTGTTTAAGTAAAACAACTGAAGTGTTATTTTTCTTCATCAGAGTTCTGGTGTGAAGATCAGCCAAGTGACTTACCGGAATATCAAGGGAACGTCGGCCACACAAGTGGCCGTGAAATTTGACTGCAGTTCAAGTAATCCATGCAGAGGTATCAGATTGGAGGACGTGAAGCTTACATATCAGAAAGGAGCAGTTCAGTCATCTTGTGTCAATGCCGGTGGTACCGCCGGCGGATTAGTCATGCCGGCGGATTATTTCTTTCATCTTGTTTATGAAAGAAATTCTTGAAATATTATTCTGTCAGACTTATAAATTGGTTTTTAAGATGCCCATTACCAGTTAGAACTTAGGAGAACCCAGAGGAGAGCCATGGTTCGGGTTCCAGAATTTTTTTTTTCCTTTCGCTCTTAATCCAGTAATTTGGACGAGTTGACTCAAAACTCGTGGTCGGTTTGTTCAACTATACACGAATTTAAAGAAATAATAAACTTGTGATGGAGCTTTTAAGATTTCTTACACACAAACACGGCAGAATTTGGTGTTTTTGTTCTTGGGCATTAAGTTTCCATAGTGATGTCAGAAATATGATATTTCATCTCCTCTTACTAGACTTCCTCTAAAGTCTCAACACATGGGTTAAACAGATTAATTAGGGTTTCTAATAATTGTCGCCTTTAAATATTTTTGATTGAGTTGGGCAATACAGAGAAGTAAATGTAAACTTGTCAGTGCTTGAAATAGATCCCATGTGATTCAGATCATCCATGAGACCATGACTCACCAAATGAAGGTCGTTACTTCTTCAATAATTTAAATCGAGCAATCAATAGCATCAGAATTCTTTATTCTTAATGTATAATCTCAATTTCTATCTCTGAACTTTTGCACTCAGTACATCTTTGAGTGTTAGGCTCAGTTTGGAGAAAGTACAAACTGAGTGAGCTTTCTGAACCAGGTCAATTAGACAATGGTTCTCACGTTCCAAATCTAAGTTAAGGCATGACCAAAAACATTCGCGGCTATCTTGTTTTTATAGGTTTGTAGAGTAATCTCTAATATCTGAAAATAAAGTTCTCCAAATTAATTGAGTACTCCTTACATTAAATTTATATTAGGCTAATAATTATTCCTCAAGGTCTGAAAATGTGGAAAGAAAATAGGTGCTTACACTACTTAGTAATTGACAGTCCATCTCGCCAAACGGAGCAAGTTGATGTGATAAATTATTATATAATAATTTGATATATCATAGTAAATCCTTTGTTGAAAAACCCACGTAACTCAATATTCAATTAATTTAAGGTAATAACTACATAAATGTTTAAAAAAACAAAACTTGCAAACCAAAAGAAAATGGTTAAAAACACATAACGTGAAATGGGTAATAGAATTCAAATTACACATTCAAAAAGTAAACTACAATCACTCTAACCCTACTAGCAAGGTGTAGAATTACATGTATACCATGTGGTGAGGGCCTAAAACAAACTAGCAAGTGATGCTATTGTATTCATCTCCAATGACGAGGTCTAGAGTATAGTCACTTAATCTCATAATGCAAACAAATACTATAATCCACATATGAGTCTTAATAGAACATTTGACAATAATAGCCGATGTCAATAATCCCCAATGATGTACCCCTCCATTTTCTATAGACAGATTTTTATTGGCTAAGACCATGCCAAATAATTGATTTCATATACCTTCAGAGTAGTTAATGCCCCCAATAGAGTCTCCACAAACCCCCTTGGCCAAACCCAGAGTTTATAGGTTGTTTGGTCTCAATTCTAGTTTGCTCCATTAACTAAATGGAAACAAAATAAAATCAAGATAAAGGTACTATTAATCAATAAACACTAACTTGAAGTAAAAGGTTCTCCTCTACACCCATAAACTAGGGTTTTATAGTACCCAAAAGTTTATGAAAAAGAGAAGAGATCCAGTTGCCCCGACTAGAGATTCTAGAAACTCTACCAACCAAAGTGGATTTCCAAATAGGTCAATAATCTCCCTTTTAAGCTCCAAATTGTCCCTAGAACCCTTGGTCTGATTTCTCCAATTGGTTAGTGAAGCAGCACGATCCGGGCACTCTTAGTTGGCTGCTGACTGGTTCCATGTTGGCAATGGACGGCACTTGAGAAGACGAAGAAGAAGGATTCCCGAGGATTTTCTTGGCGGGAATACTCCGAAGCTTAAGTTAGAATGCTGGAGAGGAAGAAAAGTATGTAAAAGGCTAAGAGAATAAGTCACGCTAGATCACTGTTTTCGTGAGGTTAGCTCGTGAGCAAGTAAGAATTCAAGTTTAGATAAAATCCGAGAGTGAGTGAGTGTGTCCGCTCCCCTTCGCCTAAAAGGCTTTTATAGGGGCATTCTTGTCAAATCGAGAGTAACCGCCACTGGGCTCCTGTCGCAGCCGTTACTTGCCAGGTCTCTGCAAGTGATTGCTATAGTGTACTACCCGCTTGGATGAGTGACACGTCCCGAACGGACAGGCACGCCACCTTCTGTCGAGAGACGTAGGTGCAGACTGTCAAATGGGTAGGGACTGCGCCGTCAACCGAGAGACGTGGTGCAGTCTGACGGGTACGACCTTGTCAGATGGAAGCTTCTGAGAGCATCGCATTACTAAGTCGCAAGCTACTTTGTAGTGAGCTACCCTTGTCGCGAGTTACTTTGTAGCAAGCTCTTAGGGGTACTTCGAGGTGACCCTCATCAAGGTTGGTCTTTGGGGCAATTCTTCTGCCCAAGTGCTAGAGCGAGCTGGTTTCCCTAGCTCACGAGCTGAAATAGTCTTGGAGCATTCCCTTCTCAGTAGCTCGGGGGACCTGGAGCTCGCGTTGTAGCGAGCTCCCCCACAGCGAGCTATGACGTAGCGAGTTGCTCTACAGGCTCGTTACTTAGTTGTGGTTAGGTCATGGTGCTGAGCTGTTGCTCGTGCTGAGTCAGGTCCACGTGTCATTGTCTCAGTAGGTCGGGTCAAATCATCCTCCATCAATTGCCCCCCACTCCTCGTGTTAGCTTGGCATTTTGACCCTTAGGCTCTAGGAGTGACTCACGGTCTACTTAGTAGTTTGCCCATGCCGTAGAGGCGACTGGGTCTTGTTGTGCCGAGGTCGTGTTTGATCGGCATTCTGGCCCTTAGGCTCTAGGAGTGACTCACGGTCTACTCAGTAGTTACAGGTAATATTGCCTTAAGTTGACAATATTCTATGCTCGAGGTACTTGTCTCCCTTCAAGGGTTCCGAGCTCGTATGTTCCTTCCCCGAGCACCCGTTTCACTCGGTAGGGTCCTTGCCAATTCGGTCCGAGCTTTCCAGCACCAGGCTCAGGTATCATAAATTTACGAAGGACCAGATCACCGACGCGGAGGTTCCGCTTCTTAACCCTGGCGTTGTACTACCGAGCTACTCTTTGCTGGTAGGCTGCGGTCCTAATATATGCGAGGTCCTTTACTTCGTCGAGTAGGTCGAGGTTGGTACGTGGCTCGTCTTCATTTTCCTTGTCGTCATATGTTTCCAGTTGTAGCGAGGGAACCTCAATCTCAGCTGGGATGACTGCCTCGATGCCGTAGGTGAGGTTGAACGGAGTCTCTCCTGTGGCGGTCTTCTCTGCGGTTCGGTAAGCCCATAGAACACTGGGTAGCTCGTCCGCCCATAGTCCTTTAGCTCGGTCTAACCGTGCCTTCAGTTCACGGAGTATAGCTTTGTTCGTGACTTCTGCTTGACCATTTGCTTGAGGGTGTGTGACCGAAGTGAGAAGTTCTGTCGGATCCCCATGTCTTGGCACCAGTTCTAGAATTTGATGTCCTCGAACTGCTTACCATTATCAGAAATCAATACCTGAGGTAACCCGAAGCGGCACACTATGTTCTTCCAAAAGAAGTTCTGAACATTTCGGGTTGTGATTGTTACAAGAGGTTCGGCTTCTGCCCACTTGGTGAAATAATCCACTGCGACCACTAGAAAATTCTTCTGGCATGTTGCCGGTGGAAACGGTCCAAGTATATCGATGCCCAATTCTGCAAAAGGCCACGGGCTAGTGAGATACTTGAGATCGGCAGTGGGCTGATGGTGGATGTTGGCATGTCTCTAGCACTTGTCACACTTTCTAACGAGCTCAATAGCGTCTGCTTTCATTGTTGGCCAGTAATATCCCTATCGTAGTGCTTTTTTGGCGAGGGCTCTGCCCCCCGAGTGTCCTCCACACAGGCCCTCATGCGTGTCGCGGAGTACGAGCTCGGCTTCGAAAGGTCGCAAGCAGCGCAGGTAGGGGAGCGTGTAGGATCTTCGGTACAGCCGCTCGTCTATCATGACGTATTTGGCCGCCTGACGCTCTACCCTTCTGGAGGCATTGCGATCTGCCGGGAGGGTCCCATGTAGCAGGAAGCTCGCGAACGGGTCAATCCATCTCGACTCTGCTTGAATGACAGGAGCGACCTCCTCTGCCCCCCCGAGAATGCTAGGCCGAGGCAGGTTCTCTATGTACACGGTTTTCATGGTGTTATCACTAGTGCTGGCTAACCTGGACAGGGCGTCGGCCTCAACGCTCTCAGACATCGGGACTTGCCTGATGAAGTGTGACTGGAAGTTGGGTAGAGCCTCTCTTACTTTGGCCAGATAGACAATCATAGTCGATTCGTGAGCTTCGTATTCTCCTGTGACCTGATTGACCACGAGCTGGGAATCGACCTCTCTTACTTTGGCTAACCGGGACAGGGCATCGGCCTCAGCGTTCTCAGACCTCGGGACTTGCCTGATGAAGTGTGACTGGAAGTTGGGCAGGGCCTCTCTTACTTTGGCTAGGTAGGCAATCATAGTCGATTCACAAGCTTCGTATTCTCCTGTGACCTGATTGACCACGAGCTGGGAATCGCTGCAGATGATAATGTGCTTGGCTTTCATTTCTTTGGCTAGAGCTAGCCTGACTATCAACGCTTCGTACTCTGCTTCATTGTTGGATGTCGTGAACTCAAAGCATAGTGCATACTCCAGTTTCGTGCCACTTGGGCCGTATAGAACTATTTTGGCTCCGCTGCCCTGCTGGTTCGAGGAGCCATCTACGTGAAGGATCTAGGGCTCCTCATCCCAGTTCGCTCTTGGCCTAACTAGGAGAGATGCCGCATTGGCTGCCACCTCACGGTGCTCAGACTCAACCGCCTTGTGAGCTCCGGGCTCGCCCGAGCTGGGGGTCTTATGCTCAACCGACCTGGGGACTTCGGAGGTGAAAGTGCACTCTGCAACGAAATCTGCTAAGGCTTGGGCCTTAATAGCAGTTCGCGGCTTATATTGGAGGTCGTACTCGCTGAGCTCAACGGCCCACTTCATCAGTCGACCAGAGACCTCGGGTTTGAGTAAGACTTGCCTCAAAGGTTTGTTGGTGAGGACGATAATAGTATGAGCCTAAAAGTACGAACGGAGCTTTCGGGCTGCAACGACCAGTGCATATGCCAGTTTTTCTATCTCTGGATATCTCGTTTCTTCTCCCTGCAACACTTTACTAACATAGTAGA